TTTTTCCCTTTCGCGGGCTCGAACCCGCGACCTCTGTACTACATGCCTGATATGGACGCATCACTATCTACTGTACGATTAGATTAGATGGGGCGGCAGTGCGCGGCACAGCTCAGGCTCCGCTGACACAGCCGCTGTGACTCACCGGCCCCCGGGGCTGCGTCAGCATGCTGTGCACGGACCAGCTGCGCACGGACCAATGCACACAGCCTCCCCTAAACTTCCCCTGTATATAAACCTGCCTCTGCTGCCCTAGGGACCTCAGTTTTGACCTCTTGTCCCTAGGTCAGTAAGCCCCTGTACTTACTTACCTTTCAATACTAACTTACTTGTCCCTAGCCTTAGGTTTGAGCACTGCTCACCATCGCTTCGGTGAGAATCAGTTGAACACCCCCAGTGTCCTTTGTTTGGTTTTCCCCCTGTCACTTGACCCCAAGTCGCGACATTAAGTCGAAACTCCTCACCGCTGCCGGCATTCATCTGAACTTCCTCACTCACTTCCTTTCCTATAGGTTGGGTGGTGCGCACCCTTACTATACTTAGATAGCCTACTATACATTGCCACCACTTAGGAACAAACTCTTCAATACCTGCACTTCAGTGGACGGTATTTGTCCTAACGGACACATGGCTTAGGTTCCTGCTGCATACTAGCCAAAAGCAGTACTGGGCCCCACGTGAATTGCAAACCCTAGTGTTACCTCAGGCACCGTAGGTGTAAGCTAGCTTATACGGCCTTTCATAGCACGCGCACCTCCCCTTCCTCCCTCCCATTGTGGCTGCCTGTCAAGGCCTTGTTCACGCCTTCGACTCCAAGGACCTCCTTGATGTCTACATCACTGACGATCCTTCTGCTCTCATCTTCACCTGCGAACAGCAACCGTGCCCTAATCGCACGCCCCGATCGATTGAGCAAGATTATGAGCGATACAAGGCCATCCGAAGGGCCCAACACCCGCTTGGCCCCCGCAGTACCCACGCATCCCGATCCGCGTCTCAACACTCATGTGCTGTCTCTCCCAGCTCCCGCCTCCCTCAAACTGTCGCCAGTACAAGTCAAGCAGGAGGAGATCCCAATCTCCCTGCAGACACTGCGCCAGAGCCAGAGTCTGAAGAGAGTGTGAGTGAAGAAGGAGTCTCGGAGCCCGAGCCTACACTTCCCAACCAGACCGCATTGCCGGACGCGCTCCCCTCCGCGCCTCCAATCCCTGTTGTACGTGACACTGCCTCCGGGCTTCCTCCAGCGCCTGAACTGCTGTCGCCGCCACGAGGCCGCTCGCGCACTCGCTCCCTCTGAAGTCCGTCCAGCGGACAGTCACAACCACCGCCTCCGCCCCCGGGCCATCCTCCGTCCCCCCCGCCGCCGATAATGTCCTCACCAGCGTCCCCTCCTGATAAGGAGACCCTGAAGCACCTCCTCCCGCTCTGCTATGACGGGAAGACGGTGATCGAGTGCAACCGCTTCATCTCGCAGTTGCTCATCTATTGGGCGGTCAACACGACCCTCTCCACCATCAAGCTAAAGATTCAGGTTGCCCTTAGCCTCCTCGATGACGATGCTCGGACCTGGGCCACCCCGATCTTTGCCCAGCTCGCAGCTGTCCAGATCAAGATCCAAGGAGCGAAAACTCCCTTTGCCGACGAAGCGGCCTTCCTCACGGTGTTCAAAGCCCACTTTGGTAATCTCGATGACACCGCCGCGGCACAAGTGGAGCTCACCAAGCTCTGCACCGACAAATCCCTGCACGAGAAGCGCACCACCGCGGAATTCTCCGCACTGTTCAAGGGTTCAGTGGACCATTCCGGGTATGGAGACTTGGAACTCTGCGACAAATAACCTGAGCGGCATCCCCTCCCATGTATACCGCAAAATTGAGCTCAAGACATTCACCACGTGGGAAGACACTGACAAGCGTGCCACGGAAGTTGAGCAGATACTCGACATCAGCTGGGCCCATCGACCCAAACTAAACAGCTTCTTCTCGGCTCGAGGAGGTGGACACGGCAGAGCACGTGGTGGTGCACCTCGATCGCAAGGTGCTTCAGCCAGCATCAATGTGGCCGTCGGAAAAGGAGACTTCCCCGGTGAGTGCTTTGGCTGTGGGAAAAGGGGGTACCGACACTTCGAGTGCCCCAATTGTAAGGACAAGCCTTACACAAAAAGTGCCGACGCGCGGGCTACGGTTGCCTCGGGTTCCACCCAGGCTGCGACAAGCGCCCCCGTCGCTTCACCCTCGGCAAGTACAAGTGCCACTTCAGTGAATACCGAGCTGGCGGACTTGATGGCACAGGTGAAGTTGATGCGCGAGGAGTTGAAGCACTATCGAGTGCTCAAAGAGGAGTCTTTTTGATCTGGTCCGCGCTTCGTGCCGCACGCATCGGACCGCGTAGTAACAATCTGTACAATGTATTGGCAACTGCAAATGTGTACAAATTGGACCACAGGTCCCAGCATTTTCACATTCCAGTGCACCTCAAAGGAGAAAGACGGCACAAGGATATAGTCACAATGGTGGACAGCGGAGCACGAAGTTTATCAACAAGTGTTTCATCACAGAGAACCGAGTACGAACACGGAAATTAAAGGAACCAATTCCACTTTACAATATTAATGAAACACTCAACAAGGATGGAAGCATCTCGGAAGTAGCTGTGCTACAGATGCAGATAGGAGATCACGTCAAGAAGATGATGTTTACAGTCACGGACATAGGTCCACAGGATGTGATCGTCGGGTTGGAATGGCTATGTGAGCACAACCCTGACATTGATTGGGGAATAGGCTCGTTCAAACTATCACGATGCCCTGGAATGTGCAGTGCCAGGAAGACTGGCCGAATGGAGCAAGCGGCGGCTGCACGTGATACGGGGGTCAGGCCCACAGTGCACAGGTGTTCGCCAAAGTCCAAATGGTCAGTCATTGGCGCATGCTGGAGTAAGGTACTCCCGGACTTCGAACCCGAAGAAGATCTGGAGGAAGTTGAGTGGGATGAGGCCAATCTGATCGAAGCCTGGGAGCAAGGTATCACACTCCCAGGCGCTCCTCAGCAATTTGTCACAGCAAGGCATACATACTCCCAGCTGTTTGCTGAGGAGGAGATCAAAAAAAGGGTTGTTAAGACCGCTGAGGAGTCTGTACCAAAACAGTACCACGAGTTCCTGAAAGTCTTCTCCAGGGAAGCATCAGAATGGCTACCCAAAAGAAAGCTGTATGATCATGCAATCAAACTCGTACCTGGCTGCTCAATGTTCCACTCAAAGGTGTACCCCTTGTCGAACAATGAGCAGGAAGAGCTGGACAAGTTCCTGAAGGAACAGCTGGTGAAAGGCTACATACGGGAGTCAAAGTCACTCATTTTGTCCCCCTTCTTCTTCATCAAAAAGAAGGAAGGGATGCTTCGACCCATGCAGAATTACTGCCAGTTAAATGCGATCACTGTCAAGAATCGCTACCTGCTACCACTGATCACCGAGATGGTGGATAAGCTTCGAGGTGCCACGCTCTTCATGAAGTTTGATGTCAGATGGGGGTACAATAACATCTGGATCAAAGCCAGTGACGAGTGGAAGGCTGCCTTTGTAACTAACCGGGGATTGTACAAACCCCTGGTGATGTTCTTTGGCCTCACCAATTCCCCCGCGACCTTCCAGGCAATGATGAATGAGATCTTCCATGATCTCATCATCGGTGGCAAGGTCCTCATGTACCTGGATGACATCCTCGTCTTCTCCACCAATAAGGAGGAGCATGAAAGGGTCACATGTGAGGTTCTGCGATGCCTTTAGGATAATGATCTGTTCCTGAAGCCGGAAAAGTGTGAATGGGATGTTCACAAAGTCGACTACATCGGCTATGTGTTTGGTGGTTATGAGGTAGCGATGGATCCTGCAAAGCTGAAAGGAATTAATGAATGGCCGGTACCCCGGAACAAAAAAGATGTTCAGAAGTTCCGGGGGTTCTCCAACTTTTACCGCCGCTTCATTAAGGACTTTGCTAAGATCTTGCGACCACTCGACCAGCTCACAGGGAATGACCCATGGCACTGGGGAGATGAGGAGTAGCATGCCTTTGATGAGCTCAAACGGCTCTTCAGCACAACCCCTGTTCTGGTGTTGTATGACCCCAACTGCGAGTCGTGCATTGAGGTTGATGCCTTGTGGTATGCCACTGGTGGTGTGCTGATGCAGAAGCAGGACAACAGCAAATGGCATCCAGTCACCTTCAGATCTCACACTATGGATCCTGCCCAGCGTAACTACGAGATCTTTGACAAGGAGATGCTTGCAATCATCGAAGTGCTAGACGAATGGTGCCACTACCTCGAGGGCTTGCCTAATCAGTTTGAGATTGTGACTGATCATAAGAACCTCGAATGCTGGTGCACGTCACAGCACCTCACACATCGTCAGGCGCGATGGTCACTGTTTCTTGCCCACTTTAATTTCCGCATCACGCATAAAGCCGGAACATCAAATAGAAAGGCTGATGCCCTGTCACGCTGATCAGACCATCAGGTCGGCAATGAGGATGCCAACACTGATCAGATTGTCCTCAAACAGGAGTGCTTCTGCATTGCCTCCACCCAGCATGGGCAAGCCTCGGTGACAGCCGATCAGTCACTTCTAAAGTGCATTCGGGAATGTTCGGAAAAGAATCGGGTAGTGGCCGAGGCACTTGAAAAGGTGCAGAACCTCGGGCCACCTTGGCTGCAGAAGGGTTTTGAGGAGTGGAATGCTGAGCAGGGGCTTCTGTTGTTCCATGGATGCATATATGTCCCACAGAATGCGGAGCTCCGGCAGGATATTGTCAAGATCCACCACGACTCGCTGATCGCCAGTCATGGTGGTCATGACAAAACCCTTGAGCTCATGTCACAGAACTACTGGTGGCCAGGAATGTCCAAGTTTTTCAATGAGTACGTCAGCACCTGCGACATATGCAACTGTACCAAGACATTCCCCACCAAGCCCCAGGGTCCGCTGAAGCCGAACAAGATCCCCAAACACCCATGGCAGATCATCACCACTGATATGATTGTTGGCTTACCGAAGTCTGATGGATTCGACTCAATTCTAGTCACCGCTGATTGCTTTACCAAGCAGGTCCACTTCTCAGCCTGTCATGAGACCCTGATGGCAGAAGGTGCGGCAGACCTGTACATCTGCGACGTGTTCAAACATCATGGGGCCCCGGCCAAGGTCATATCAGACTGAGGCCCCTAGTTCGCATCAAAGTACCTCCATGCGGTGTACAAGGGACTAGGGATTGAGCTGGTGCTATCTATGGTGTTCCATCCCCAGACAGATGGTCAGACCGAGCGCTGGAATCAGGAAATCGAGCAGTACCTGCATGCTTTCACAAGCCACAGACAGGATGACTGGGCAAGGCAGTTGCCGCTTGCGGAGTTTGCGCTGAACAACCGAGTTCACTCCGCAACCGGGCACTCCCCCTTCTTCCTGCATCAAGGGTACCATCCTGAGATCCAAGTGTGGATCAATCCGATGTCTGCAATGCCCACAGCCGCTGATCGGCTCAAGATCCTGAAGGAGATTTGGGATGATATGCACTCTGTGCTTGAGTTATCCGCCGAGCGCATGAAGGTGTACTACAATAAGCACGTGCAGGAGGCACCGGTCTTCACACCAGGGGATAAGGTCTGGCTCAATGCCCAAAACCTTAAGCTGAAACAGCCGAGCAAGAAACTCAGTCCCAAACACCTCAGACTGTACACTGTGTGGCGAAAGCTCAGAGACTTAGATTACGAGTTGGTCCTGCTGAAGTCGGTGCCTGTGCACCCGGTGTTCCATGTCTCCTTGCTTAGCAAGTACATGCGTAGCGAGATCCCGGGCCAGGAGCCGGAGGAGCTGCCTGCCATTAAGGTTGAGGGCAACAAGGAGTACAAGGTTGAGTGGATAAAAGATTCAAGGATCTTCCGGCATCAACTCCAGTACCTTGTCAAGTAGAAGGGTTATGACGACTCGCACACGTCATGGGAACTGGCACGCGATGGTGCAGATGCACCAGCCCTCATAGCCAACTTCCACTGGAAGAATCCAAACACCCCTTGCCACCTCAATGCTACTACCTTTGGTGGTCTCAACTTTCAGCCAATGCCTTCACCACTGACTGAAGCACGCTGCTGCCCCGGGTGGGAAATGGGCAAGGGCACCTCGCATGAGGTCATGCACCATTGAGGGGGGGGTAATGTCACGAGTTGACACAGCATCTAGCTGTTTTTTAATTTTTTCCTTTCCGCAGGCTTGAACCCGCGACCTCTGTACTATACGCTTGAACAGACAAGTCATTATCTACTGTACGATTAGATTAGATGGTGCAGCAGTGCACGGCACAGCTCGGGCTCCACTGACACAGCCACTCTGACTCACCGGCCCCTGGGGCTGCGTCAGCATGCTGCGCACGGACCAGCTGTGCACGGACCAGTGCGCACAGCCTCCCCTAAACTTCCCCTGTATATAAGCCGGCCTCTGCTGCCCTAGGGACCTCGGTTTCGACCTCTTGTCCCTAGGTCAGTAAGCATCCCTTTGTATTCCCTTCTTACTTAACTAATATATTATCTTGTCCCTAGCCTTAGGTTTGAGCATTGCTCACCATCGCTTCGGTAAGACCCAGTCAAACACCCCCAGCGCCTTTGTTAGGTTTTCCCCTGTTGCTTGACCCTAAGTCGCGACACGCAGTGTTGCTGACGCAGCCCCAGGGGCTGGTGAGTCAGCGCAGCTGTGTAAGCGGTGCCTGGGCTTGTGCCGTGCACTACCGCCCCATCTAATCCAATTGTACAGTAGATAACGACTTGTTCGTTCGAGCGTATGGTACAGAGGTCGCGGGTTCAAGGCCATGAAAAAGAAAAAATTAAAAAACGGCTAGACACCATGTCAACTCATGACACTCCCTGTGGGCTGAGTGCTCTTTGTATTTCTGTCAGAGCTATTCTCAAGGCTTCCACTAGCTCTGCCATCCCTTTTTCTATCTCTCCTCGAACATTCTTTTGATACTGTTCGAGTTCATGCACCTGTTCCTTTGCCCAGTTGATGTAGCCATCTAGCTCAGTTTGTAGTTGCTCGAGCTTGTTGGAATCTTCATCAAGAACATTGTATGCTAACATGGTCTTGTGGCAGACCTTGTTCACCACCTCGGAAGCGATGTGGTCCATGTAGACAGTGTCAATGACCCTTGAGAAAGCAACAAGACATTCCAAGGTGACTGCAGCAGGGGCAGCTGTGTGTGCAAGATGCAACAGGCTGTCATGTATTGTTAGCAAACTCAGTGATTGCCCTCTCAGAATCAGCTCCTTGGACTCGAGTAATTCTACAGCCCGGTCAGTGTTGTTTATCTTCTTTATTGCCGTGCTGTATGCGGCATTACTATTGCCTGACATCAGTGTGCTGTTTCACATTGCTCATTGTGTTTGCAAGCCTTCCAGTGCTGGCTTTCTGCCAGTCAAAGCCATAGGTCATATTACTGTTGTTTCTGGTATAATGTATAATGTAGGACTAGTGTGTATGTGAATCGCACATCTGCTTTTCCCACTCCTATGGGTGCAAACTGTGGTAATTTTGCCGAAGATGGTAGTCTAAAGCAAGAAGGAGCCCCATCAGTTGTTCCTGTTAGGAGGTAGACCACTAAATTTTCTCTTCATGTAGGGTTTATGTTTGCTACTCAATGTGCCTGTAAACCAGGTATGTAACTCATCAGTGTGTGCAGTTACAACACTTACAAATATACTTATGTTTGCTACTCAACACACCCAAGCACCAGACATGTGACACTTGGTTGTTGTAACATGCCCTTTTAGGCTTTACACAGTAGGAAAGAAGACTATAAGGGCCTTTCTTATATAATGGTATAAGAATGCATGTGCATTTTATTTAAAAAACTGTTATTTTGAAAAGTTTGATGTCTAATGCATTCTGTAACTTCATGCTACAGAGGGGAAGTCTGCAGAGATCTCCCTTATATAACGGGAAATTCATGGAAGTATATACTTTAAATGTGATGGGAATTCAATGAAAACATATTTGAACAAGAAAATATCCTTATAATCTCCAATTCAAACATTTACATACAATGCACAAATACAATAGCAAACACAAAGTGCCTGCATATATACAAACAGGGTGTAAACCAGATGCAAAGCACTATTTGCACTCATAACATGTATGTCATGTTGTGTATGAGATGTAAAGCACTCCTATAGTCCATATTACTTGACATATCAAATAAGGTGCAAAGCACCTTCTGGAATAAATACACCAGTCATAACTAAAAATATATTAGGTACAAAGTGACTTATTGTGGCAACATCACAGGTCACTTAACTAGTATTTATAAAGCTAATATAGGAATTGTCCTGCCATGCAAAGCAATGGCCCGCTCAAACCAAGTATATATGTAGTTAACAGTGCTTGGATCTGAGTACCATAGATAAATGTTGGCAAACCTTAGCCAACTGTTTACGCAAAGGTACATACCGCGTGAGGTAGCTAAACCCATAGTGTGTTATTTTGAAAGAGTTGTCAACACAGGCAAACAGACACCTGATCTGTGCTTGTCTTTGTCAACATTGATCAGCCTATACCTAGTACCAGGAGTCAAGGCAGAAAAGGACATGCAACATGTGAGAATGGCAATGAATATGTAAATAAGTACACAGGAGCACATACCAAATGATGGAAGCATCTTATAACAACATTACAGGGGTGCATACCCCTCAGTGTCATAGATATCGACCTCTTCTCACTCTTTTCCTTCACCATCCTTGGTCCCAAGTGCACCGTCTTTAACTTCAGGTGCGTCTTCATCATCCTCAGCCTCTCTAACACTACCGTCAAAGCCTGGATTAATGCAATGATAGCCAAAGTTGTCATCATTGTCATCAATCTCTTCATTGTTGTTGTTATTGTCATCACCATTCTCGTCCTCATTCCCATTGTTGTTGTTGTTGTTGATCCAGGGATCCAGTCTGGTTGCATCACCAGACTGGAGTACTTGGCCATTATGTCCCACACTGCCCCTTAGGGAGCACATGAACATCTTTCGATCAACAAACCTGAGAATACCAGTAGAGCTCATTTGCATATGTAAATGAGGTAAGACATGTTACTCATATGTTCACGTAGTAATAGAGATAGTTGCAATCCTTTTCATGAGGCTGACGGGCAATTAATGGATCAAGTATGTCCACTGTTTTTCCATGAGCGAAGGCTAGAATCAAGTGTGCTGCCCATATGACTTGTTCCGGATCAACAAACCCAAATGTGTTTGGGTCATCGCCATCAACAAAACCCACAGAGCCTCCAAATTGCAGCCAAACCACTAAACCCAAAGGAAGTGTAGGAGGTGTGTCTTGCCCATGTAAAGGGTATTGTCGTGAAAGATACCAATGACACAAGCATACCAGTAGGTGTGCTTGCCGGCAGCAGCATGATTGTCATCCTCCTCATGTGCCAGTAGCATGATATTGGATGCTATTCTTGGGTTGATAGAGTCTTGTGCCTGTCACATGTCATAAGTTGTATAGTTGAACCTTGCTACCTTATGGAAGTAAATACAATTGTTGTTGAAGCATACTTGCGACCGGTCCTCATTGTCATGACTTGGTACGGTGTCTAGCCATTTTTTAAATTTTTTTTCCTTTTTACAGGTTCAAACCCACAACCTCTGTACTACACGCTTGAACAGACAAGTCATTATCTACTGTACAATTAGATTAGATGGGGTGGCAGTGCACAGCACAGCCCGGGTGCCACTTACACAGCTGCACTGACTCACTGGCCCCCAGGGCCACGTCAGCAATACTGCGCACAGACCAACTGTGCACAGATCAACGTGCACAGCCTGCCCTAAATCCCCCATGCATATAAGCTGGCCTCTGCTACCCTAGGAACCTCAGTTTTGACCTCTTGTTCCTAGGTCAGTAAGCCCCTGTATTCCTTTTACTTACCTTTGCTAACTTAATTCATTCACTTGTTTCTAGCCTTAGGTTTGAGCCTCGCTCACCATCGCTTTGGTGAGATTCAGTCGAATGCCCCCAGCCTTTGTTTGTTCCCTGTTGCTTGACCTCAAGTCGTGACAATACTAGTGTTGCCAGGTATTGTATCAGTAATAAAGTGGCCAACAAAGCTTACACTGTTATATGACTTTACACAATTATGCACAAGGTATACTACAGTGTGTTCAGACCAGTTGCGGACAAATACAAAGCAGATTACAGTCTGTGATCAGTGCAAACACTCAGTATGTCACTTAGATATGCAGATGTACCCATGTGTGGATGGATAAGTATGGATAAGTCCCTAGACCATTCAATACATCTGCAGAAATAGTGGAAAATATTAGGTTAAATTAGGGAAACTGTGACAGGAACAATGTGTACTTAGCTTCCAGCGATGACTCCCAGTTACATTCTCCAGCTAAGCTGTGCATCACCAGAAACACCACAGTATGTGTGACTACTCTGGCTGTCCCAGCAGCCACCACAGGTTGTGTCACATACATCTGACCCCTTCATCCACCAACTTCACACTCATGTACTTGCCATGACTGACACCCATGCTTATCCACACCATAAGCCTCCTCATCCTGACCATCCATTCCTTGTCCTGCCGCTGCATGTTGCAAGTCTTAGGTCCAGAGAACATCCATGGTAATCTCCATTGAGCCTGTGCCACCGTGGTCTGTGTTTTTTATGTTTTTCACTGTCATATTCGCACTAAACTATCCCTTGGCACAGGTTTTCCCGCAGATGATGGGCTAGGTACAGGTACAGTCAATTTTGACAAATCTCAACATGCTGTCAGGTGCAGACTTGATGAACTACAGATGAGACAACCAAATTGTATCACAACATTCACGAATCTAACATTTCGTGACCCACCTTTAATTGCGGAGAAGAGATAGGCTAGTCATTCATGATCTGACGCTATAGCCGCTTTGCTCAAGGATCCATATTTGTATGCCGAAATTCCGTTCGTGTGGAATCACAAGGGGGCGACTGAGTACAGCGCGTATGGCACCTTACGCATTCACATAGGAACATGTGCTGTCGGGTTCGAGGGATCAATGAGAACGAGAGCGCCGACATCGCCGCACGATGGCTCGATGTGCGGCGCGAGGACAAAGGATGGCGACTAGGAAAATCGAGTGTCTGAGCATGGCATGAGACGTCAGGATTCGTCCAACGAGCGTGTCATACTATTGTTAAGGGCAAATCAAGTGGCCGCATCTCATGTATATGTACAGCTCCAAGCCAAACTGTTTGGAGGATTCTCCCGAAGGCTAAGGAGCGTGAGCTCAAGCAAGCCGGACCACATACTGGGCGATTGTACTATCGGTCCTAGGGGCGAGTCGCGCTGATCCTCATTGGTAGGGTTGAGACAGCAATCTTAGGCCAGGGACTGCGCCGCCGTTTTGCGTGAATTGCTCGTGAATCATTCGGGCGCACAGTGCGTGGACTATTTGGAGTGCGAGGTGGTACAATCCTTCAGCTTGCCCAGCAAGAAAGGGGTGGGGTATAAAGCGATCAGGGACGGGTGGGTTTCCTCGACGTTGCAACGGTCGCATGTCTCTGTGCGACGATGCCAGAGATTTTGTGTACACGGCCGCGCCGTTCGTGGCTAGACTAGGACATCAATCGAACCTCGAGGTTACAAGGAGGATCTGTACTTATGACCACAACTGAGACGACGCCAGAATGATTAAGGTGACGGTCTTGGAGACAGGATTAGCGGTTTGTAGGCCATGGTCGGGGAATTCACTTACAGCATTGTCCTTATATAATAGTTCTCACGCCAGTGACGACGACAAAATACAAGAGCGAATAGAAGCTGCGCACTCAGTTGCGGTCGTCCAAGAGGGGGTAAATAAGTACAACATCACAGTCGAGTTGAGATGCCGCGCAGGGTTGTGCTGTTCCCATTCTCGTAGAAAACCCGATCTAGCAGTGGGACTGAATCAGGAAATGCGTGTATGGTACCAGTAGATGCGCCTTAGTCTCACCCGTGGATTGCCACGAGGCACCCCGAGCAGATCAGCCGAATGACTCGACTCAAGGCGCTCTACGCCCGGACTAAGAATCGCTCGCGGTCAGACTGAAGGACATCAGGTACCCTTACCTTTTCTCTACCGCCGCCTACGACTGAATTGCAGATGCGACTACCAGCGACGACACGAAAAGGCATCTGAGGCGATCAACAGGATGAGACGAGTGATGCGCATGGCGAGGAGCTCCTGACGGGTTGTTCTGACTGTACGATATGTGGTTTGGGTATTGCAGCAACAAAGCCCGAGCCTCATGTGAGATGAAGTACCAGATGCACATGAAAGAACGTACCATCAGTCCGTAGCAAGATTGACGGGTGCATCATACACGACGTCATGTACTGCGCCAGCATTCTTTCATAAAGATCGTCTGTCTTGTCTCTCAGAGCTTTCGAACCACCTCGTTGATGAGCGGGACCTACGCATAGAAGGCTGAGCCACAGTGGCCGCCAGAACAAGCCGATGCCGAAGGGCTGGTCCACGTAGGGCCTAGAATGCCTTTCGGTCAGTCACCAACATCCAATCGCTGCCGCACACACATACGGGTATATTGTCTCATGCATTTGCTCTGTATATAAAGCTACTGCCAGCAGTTGTGATGCAGCATGACCCATTCTTCTCGAGCATGCCAGTAATATCTGGATTTCAGGAGCAAAATAAGGCAGATCTTGATGCCTGACGATTACACCGCGTTCAGCTATGTTGTGGGGGATAGTTACTTGAAGCCCAAGAAAATGTATGCTAAGCATCAGTAAATGGAGTAAGACGGGACACGCATTGAATACACCATACGTTTCATTAAAAATGATATGTATCGACGCATGGCAGACGCCACGTGCCATCTCGCATACGCCACGCATTTGCATACCATCGCCGTAGCCCATGGCCCCAGAGCTACAGAGATCATAGGAAACTAGACTGGATATGAAGGGACCGAGGCAGCGCAAAGGTCCTCAATTCAATTGTACTTCCCGAAAATCGCCGATGATTGCTGCGCACGGTCCAAAAGCACATCTGACTTATCAGCGAGGATCGGGGATACCAGGATCACTCTGTTCGCGCTTGTGGTCATAGAATCTCCAGTCATGACGGCGAGTCGACGAGGTTCTCCAACAAGGGTCGTTCTCCAACAGACGGCCATTCTGGATGCTGAGGACCTGACGGGCATGTGCAAACCGTGATAGCAATAGGTACGGGTGTACGTATCAAAACCTGGGTCCGTGTCTGTATGACATTTCAGTTTGTATAGGAGAACGTCAGCCAAAAATTCGCCTGCAAATGCGGGTCAGAATGTACCTTGAGAAATAGCTTTCCACCGAGCAAAGCTTTTGCACAATAGGCAGCACATCACCGGCTTCCTCCTGTCGATAAGCGAGTATCGCTGCATCCTCAGGTTCCGCAGGCGGTCCCATCGTCCACTCGTCTCGAGCTTGATCGCAATCCAGACACCACTGACGAATGCTGACTTCTTGTTGCGCATATTTCTCGGCGGTGTAAGCCTCTGTGCCCACGTTGGTGTCGCCAAAATGTTTCCTCTTTATCCCTGAGACGATTGGCCGAAATGGACGAGGAAAGCGGACAGTGTCATCATCCAACAGGGGAGAACAATATTGCTTCTCGGGCCAGTCGTAGTAATCATCAGGACAGGCTGAGATCTCGCCTGTTTCCCATAGCCGCCTGTTGGGTACCATCTCGTGAGGCACAGGGATTGTCCACAACTCATACCGATCGACTATGCTGTATGCATGATCGACCTCCTGGTGGGGCAGGAGCGCCCGCAAGACATGTTGGTAGTGCAGTGGTCGCTTGCTCAATTTCTGGCCTGCTCTAAATATCATCAGACGGAGATTGATATTCAGCTCGTGACACCCGAGCGACCGATATGAGCAAGGGGCCGTCATGAGAGAAGGTGTGACGGGATGACCCATGGTCGCGCATGAGTCCGGAGGGTGCTCGTCCTCTGCGACGACGTAACATTTGTAGACCTACTGCAATGTGAACACGACAACTGACCAAGAGGGTGTATGATACGTACGGTGCCATACACAGACTTCTTTAAATGGTCAGAATGGGGTATTATCAATAAGCGGTTCGTTTCCCAAAGTTCCCGGAAGTCGCGTCGAACTGTATGCGGTACATCAGGTTACAGAGGACAGGTAGAACGTTGAATGATACATACGGAATATAATATTCGCAGGTATGTGACAACGCAGGGCGTTGTAGTTAGTGCGCATGTTGAATGTAATGTAGTCAATCTTCCGATTCATCTTGTCAGCCACAAAAGCCGAAGTAGCAGTCATGCCTACTCACCAATAGCTGAGGCATGTTAGGAGGCAATATATAACACGCCTCTACATCAGCAGACACGCAGCCAGTGATCATGCACCTCGGGTGAGGTCCGAAAGGAACGCCATCCTCGACATTGGACGCGTTGCATTCAATGACGGACGTGCGCATTCTCTTGGCGAAGACTTCATCAGTATCTGTGTCCGGGCTCCGTTTGCGCTTCTGCAGGCGGGAGATGCCTTCGACTGACGACTCTTGTTCAATGTAGGGGGAAACCGGCTCGACTGCATCTGGGTGGACAAGCGTGATGATGGGTATATGCACAAGAGCGTCTATAGGTAACGAATGTTCGTAGTGGAGCGGTCGCTTGATGAATTCACGACCCACTCGAATTGTCATCAGATGCAGATTCGCACTCAGCTCGTGCCACCCTAGTGAGCGATACGAGCAAGCAGCGGTGGTAGCTAGAGGTATAATGGTATAATCCTGGGGGGTTCCCGAGTCTAGAGGGCGCTCATTCTCTGCGATGACGTGGTATGTGTAGACCTACTCGACTGTGAGGACGGCGCCCATCTGAAAGGGTGTACCATACATACAGGGCGGGTATCGGGGTGGTCTATATGGTCGGGATGGGGTATCATCAACAGGCGATTCGTTTCCCATAGTATACGGAGGTCGTGTCGAACTGCAAGAGGGTTGTAAGCGAAGGGAAAACGGGCTGGAAATGAGCAACTACGCACGGAATATGATGTTTGCAGGCGTGCTACAACAGACGGCATCAAAGTCAGTAGGCACGCGGAGCGTCGTGTAGTCGCTCTACAAAGCTGCCTTGTCAGCTGCGAGGTCAAAGTAGTCATCACCCTACTCACCAACGGTTGAGGCGTGTCGGGAGGCAGGATATAGCACGCCTCCACCTCGGCGGACACGCACCCAGTTATCATGCATCTAGGGTGAGGTCCATGAGGACCCCCATATTTGAGCTTTGACGCGTCGCTCGGACTGTCAGACAACCTCCTTCTCTTAACACGGACCTCATCGGTCGTCGTGTCTGCACACCGTTTTCGCTTCGGCGGGCGAGCGATAGCTTCGCAAGGCGCGTGTAGGTGAATATAGAGGGCAACCGCGGGAGCCGTGTCTGGTTCGACGCCCCTGATCTTCGTGTAGTCGTTGATGGGTATATGCAGAAGATCGAATGAGGCGATGGCCTCGACCTTGGTTGCGTCGTTCAAAGTGCCAGACGTCCGCCCCCTCTTTGCGCGAACGCCATAGGTGCTTGTGTCCGCGCTTCGCTTCCGCTTCAATGGACGGGAGACGCATTCTAGTGACGGGTCCACTGCATCGGACTTGGCGTCCTCGACACTCGCGCAGTCGCTGATGGGTATGTGCCCAAGACCAAAGAACGCACCGTCATCGGCCGTGGTTGCATCGCTCCAAATATCAGGCGGCAGCAGTCTCTCTGCGCGGACTTCATCAGTCCTTGTGTCTGCCAACGGTCTCCGTTTAAGCGGACGGGTGATGTCTTCTGGTGGCGAGGAGTCCGCCTCTGCTTCAGCAATTCTGATATCCGTGCCGCCGCCAGATGTATGCTTAAAGACGTCATCAAAAGAGATAGATAGTGCACGACTGACTCCAGAAATGGGTGTAGCGGGTGGAGAGCTTTCGCGTGAAGAGGAGCTGCCAGTGTCGTCCGAAAGCGCGGGAGTACTTATATCGCGTGGGGGGTGCTCAGCAGCAAGCGTATGGAGCATGTCAGGGATAAGGATGTAAAAGCCATTCATTTTTGCGTCGACCGTATCGCGAGTTCAGCGATGTAGTGACCATGGTGTAGTGCGAACAGCGCGCGCCACCAGTGCCTTGTGCGGGTGCTTAGTCAGCCATATTCTCGGAGATCCCCGACACCAATTACGTCCTGACTGGTGTACGGTGCATCTGGGCTTACTCGGGTGCACACACCATTTGTATGCAGTCGTATAGGTCCTTCTGAACCTTGTGATACACAAACTCCAGCACTACGATTGCGTTCATGTTGCTTGAAGTCGCATGTATGAAATCGCGCAGTCTGAGTCTAGGTCAAGGTCAGTTCGTTTTGACTTTGCAACCTGATCTGTACTTCAAAGATGCTCACATGCGCCTCCTGCCTAGATGTAGCTCCATGCTCCTCAAGGAAAAAAATCAATCTTTTTATCTTCCGATAAGGAGGCCCCCTCGATACCTTGGGCAGAAATTCCCGCGGGGAGTGCGTCCATACGGAAAGAGTCGTTGACAGTGTGAGGACATTCGTATCTGAGCTCGCATGCTCGTCATCAGAATCCGTCTGGATCTGTTCAATGAGGTTTGCAAGTTTGACATTATGTAGGTTCATGCCTTTTACATACTTGAGCAGGTGTTAGAGATGCCTGTATCGTCTGGCAGGCGCAGGGGGTGTGCCGTGTCAACTCCAGCTTCCTTTCGAATGCATCAATGAGCCAATGATTGTAGCTTTGTCCCCAATGCCATATAATATCTGCTCTGAGTAGCTCCATTTACTATGACCTGGTCTACACTTCCATAGTGACGTGGAGTTTGGGAAAGACGAACTCAGACATTTTACCAGGGTATGCTTCGCGCCAACTACGTCGTTCAACACGACTTATGTGAGGTTCGTGTCTTTTCATCGTGTCTTACGCAGACTGACTGTAGGATGCCGATTTAGAAAATGACAAGCGTGCTTCCTTATGCGCCCTTAACAGTGTGTCTCTCCGATCAGCGGGGCACGGTTCCCGCGCCTCAGACGGTGCATCTGATATCACAATTACAAGGACTCACCTCGCACAGACCATGCATATTAGGTAATATGCGCGAGGTCGCCAGTCACTGACCCGCGTCGACGATGGCCACAAGAACCAAATTGGAATACAATGGCCTCTGTGGCCTGTGGTCACGCGCTTCACAGTATAATATGAACTCAGCCAAAGCCGCTCGGGCCACTCACTCTCTCCGTTTGTTTCTTCACCTCCAGCCTCAACTGCACCTCCAAATGTCCTCGCCATGGTTGACGGCTTCAACCCGAGACGATCTAATAGACTGAAACATTTGCCGAAAGGTATGGGTCCTCGTCGTTACCGTTGACGGGTTTGCCCTGACGGTGGCCCGGCCACAGTTGATTATTGCGAGAACAAGACGGCGGATGGGAAACGGAAAAGGGGAGCATTAGACGAAGAAGACGAATATACGCCGTCCCGGGAAGGCACGCCGGAGAATCAGAAGACTCCAACACACGCGCCGGAGAATCAGAGGAGTCCATCACGGAGAGTGAGACGCAAGACGGCCATTACCAAGGATGCTCGACAGCGAGCGGTCGATGCGTCTCAGAATGCGGGTGCCTGCATAATATCAGGCATGAAGGACAAATCCGTTCAGCAATGCCATGTGTTGCCACGGGCCACAAAGCCGGATGTGGTAAGCTCAAGTGGCTCTTGCACGCAGGCGGCGTCTCTGACGATGTACATACACACATACATAGCTCACGGCTCTAGAGTGGTGGTGGGACATCAAAGAGCTCAATGTAGATTCCAGCCATAATCAGGTCTTCCGTGCGTCTTCTTTCCAGGAGGCATGCCGATACGCGTGTGCTTACTTGCATACAGTTCGTGCCGATCTCCATGCCTTGTGGGATCGTGGAGACATTCTGATCATGCCAATGCCTGACGTGACTAAGGAATATCTGGACACGTGGAAGGATGGTGGCAGGCACAAGGTTCTGGAGGTGAGTTGCTGCAGCCTGATAATCAACGACTGATACGAGTCGTCGCCACAATTCCCATAGTTTCTCGAGGATCAGATCCACAATTACTGTGTGATCCCTCACCCAGACCTTGTGGCTGGCGCAAGTCCTTCAGGTAACTCTCCGATCCGTCCCGGGTTCAGCTACGGATTCGACAAGGTTAATGTGATCCAATCCCATGCGAAGCCGCGCTTCATGATATTGAACGCGGCCATGAAGTTCAAGGAGGACAAAGAGCTGTGGGTGGAGGCGCTGACGGCGTTCTTCAAGAGAATTAACCTCGAAGTCGATGCATCCGGCGTTGTGGAGGATACTCTGACCTTGTCTGACTTGTGGACTGTGGAGCCACCCACGAAGGCACAGTTAAGTATGAAGAACGAAAAGGAAGAGGTGACAAAGGATGAATCTAGGTCAGTGAACTTACATCATCCATGGCATACGGGCTCACTCATCGCGCTCGCAGTCTTCCCATAACGGTACATACAGGTGAAATGATGACGCCACAACGCCCGAAAGGTACGTCGTTATGCCTTGCCTTGTCATGTGGCATGGACTGACTTCAACGTCTCCGTATGGCGCAACAGCTCTTGTGGGTCCAGGAGGTTTGGAAATAGACAAACACTCCAAATCGAGAGCCCACAAGCTCGAAGGTGAACCATGCAGTAGCAATCTGAAATCGTATGCTGCCCGTCTGGCGCCCACTGGGTCACGGTGCCTTCTGAGCCTTCAGGAGGACAAGTCAATACAGGGGTGTCACGTTGTCCCGCGAAGAACTGATATCGATACGGTAAGTCGCCAATATTTTTTAAATGATGCCCATGTAACCATGGCTTGGATGCCCTCATGCATGTAGTGTGCGAAAGTGGCGGCGTGGTGGGGGATTGATGAATTCGATGTCGACTCCCCTTTCAACATCTTATTATGTGAGTGTATATGTCCCGGTTGGTCGATATGGCCCTGATCCAAACCCCACATAGTGAGAGCCGACATCCACTGCTTGTGGGACAAGGGTCATCTCATTTTTGTGCCCGAACCTCATATTGTCGAAGATTATGTCGCACGATCCATTGTTCCCATAGAAGCAAACTTGGTGAGTGCAGATAGACGGCCCAGACATAGTATCTTGCTCACGGTGTTATCTAGTCACTGGACGAACCATCTCAAGTTTGCAATGGCCCCATTTACAGATATTGTGTCGTTTCCCATCGCGACCTTCCAGATACAGAGGAGAGCGCTGCGTTTCCGAGGGATATCAAGGTCGTAGGCTATGTGGAATCCCGTGTACCTCCCCAATTCGTCATTTATAACGCCGGCCCGGCGTTATCGAAGGGTGCCGGACCAGCTGACTTCGCAATGGCTTTGGACGCCTTCTACAAGCTCCACAAGGTGAACTATAAAGCGATCAATGTTCTGCGACAAATGAAAACACTCTGTCTCCGATGGCCAAAGAGCTTGTCGGATTATGGAAGCGTGCAGCCCGCCTCCCAGGATGTCTCTTTTGACTAGTTGTCTCAGTCGGTGCGTTGGCTATACTTGGTTCATATTCCTACCATACCAGACGTAACTCGTAGGCTAATTCCGAGCATCCACATATCACTCAGACAATGCTGGGTGTAGAGTGGTTATCAGAATTTATGTGGCCCTATGGCCAGTGGACACGGGAAATATGCCTTGCTATGGCTAACCCTACATGCCCCATTATGCAATAGCCCATCATACATCTATCCGTGCATTTTTCTACTCCATGCCTGTGAAAGGCAGTCCAATTACATTGCTGCTCATAGAAGAACACATGAAAGGCCGGCTGCGTTATTTGGAGCATCCCGGGACACTGAAGTACGCAATCACCGTATGTATGTTATTTTCTGGTTCGAGGCTAGAAGAATTCAGATCTTAGTCCTCAACAATCAATCGCATCATGTACGACGTCTGGGTGCGAGTAGTGCAATCTAGTTAAGAAAGATTAGTACGAGGTTACATTGCTGTACTTGTGCAGAACTGCGATGTTACATCTCGCCAGCGGTCTGATATCCTCGCCATGTACAGGAATGCAGCCTACCACGAGATTTACAGTGACAGGAGTCACGCTGCAGGATGCCACGCACTTGATACTAGGACGACGGTTGGGGTGACCCAAGTGCCCTAACCTGTTCTCGTCGGCCATCAAGAATCGCGAGGTCGCATTGGCAAGCAGGTGGTGCTCACTCGTACTGTATGAGTATCAAATTACGCCAGAGGATGACAAGACTCTAGATCTATAAAGATCGGGTGACTGTATCCATGATTCCATCCTTGTCACCTATTATGGATAATTTCAGTCACAGGAGATGGCGTGTGAGTTTGAGATAGCGGATGGATCTCGTGAATCCCGGTTCACGGTTAGTGCGTTGACTTCCGACAGCCTTGTCAAAACTTTGGGCGTGAAAGGAGCCAAGCTCAGGTCAAGTATCCGTTCTGCGCGTCTCCGAGAACAGCAAAGCATGAAAAACTACCCCGCCTGTTTCAGGAACACAGGTCGTGTCACCTCCCTGACATATAACGACTGCTTGTGGGGAAATGCATCGAGCATACGAGGTCGTGTTCTCCTTGGTGTACGTCAGAAGCTAGGCCTGTGAAACTCAGCCCGTACATTTATCAACCTGTGAATGCTGGTCTCTCATACGGCATGTCGGTACATTGAGCAAACGGACTGACCTTGGGATCTTCGGTGTGCACGGATGAGGCAGAGTCTAATTGTTTATGGTTTCTGGTGCCTAGTACTCGCCAGCAGGTGTCGGTGGATGGCGAGTCGCCAGTGGCTGACCTTCATTCCTAGCATATATTTCCCCTCCGATACACATATCCTTCGGAATGATCACTGCGGTTTACATTATAATCCCAGTCGCAGCAGTGCCGTATAACTGCAATGCGTTGCGTGTTGTTTAAACAACACCCAACGCTCCTGACCAGTCTGACCCTTCTCTTGAACATCAGCCTTTGTATCAGTGGCTTGCATAGGACAAGTGTCAAACAAGGTATCGAGGTGCTATAGCTCAACTCAGCTGCGACACAGATTGTGCCATTTTAATCTCTAAGACGCCTCGACCTAGTGGAGCAAGGTTGAACAGTAGTATCTGACGCAATTAACAGGATACGCGCATCGTGTATGAGATGAAGCACCACATGCACACGATAGAAAATACGATCAGTCCATCCTTAGTGCCGTGGTTGATAAGAGCACTAGGTACCAGGCCATTGGATATGCCAGCATCCTGTTGCAAGGACTGCTGATGTCCTCTACGAGTTCGGGTTCAAGGTTGCAGGCCCTGCTGCTGCTGTCATTCGCGATGCAACAGAGTCCATTTTCTGGGCGCACATCAAACATACTTACGCTGCCAGGCTTGAATAGAAACCACAGTCGAGGGCCGTAGATTCTCTCTAGGGGCGACATGGTTTGTTCGAGGGCCCGTCCTTTGGGCTAAGACGGGACCCGAAGAACCGATATTTTTATGCCAATGTAAGCAGACAATTTGAGATGGGACTGGCATATACCGACACCCGGTACACGCCAGCCGTCGTCCGACTGCTCTCTATGACGCGCAAACAAATGTAGGTTGCACAAGCTGTCGCACTGGTCGGTACATATTTGTAGAATTGAAACTGCCATCTTCAGGCCCAGATCCACGAGGACCACAGCACACAGCACACGCTTGGGGCGAGAATGCGTCACAGACGACCAAAGCAGCACTGTTGCACAATTGCATTTTCGCTGCCCACTGCCGATCACCACGTACCTCCGGGAAGCGAGCGCTGTTCGCCAGTAAAGGCTGGGAGTTATGCTGTAATTACTCACCCACATGTACAATGATGGCTATCGATGTGGTGCCGGTGTGAGGGTCCCATGCTCCCTGAGTGTCCCCTTGCATTCAAGTCAAGCATGCACAGAAAAAATGACGAAGCAGGAGAAACCTGACAGCGAGAACACGCATGTGGAGTGCAACGTGTCGAATCTTACGGAGACCAACTTGGCAGGTGTTCGAGTGCGGTGTACGACGTTTATCTGCGGCAAACGCAGCGAGACAGACGAAAGAGTGCCAAAGTGTCAAGCGTCATATCAACTACGTCCGTTCCTGCTTCCAATTGGTCGATCGCATCGATCGCACCTTGCTCTAGGCGCCCGTCTTGAGCGAGGCCTCTGACAACTGATGCATCCTTGCTCAAACACTCATCCACCGTATGGTATGATTAGTCTATGTACGCAATAACTTCAACGCATGAGAGAAATCTACGAATGTTTCTGCGACCGATCGTGACCTTTCCGGACGATCCTGTTATGAGGCAGTGCGCTTCTCCGTGTTACTTTCTCGCATCTCACTAACGCTTGTTGCAGACAGATCTACCAATCTCCGGAAGAGCTGGAAGCTTTTTCGCTGGAGTTCGGACAGTTATGTTCAAGTAAAGGTTGTGTGTCCCTGATACTGTAGATCTATGGCTGCTGTTGCTGCAGCATCTCGGATCATCTGCCGGAGAGTAATTACTGCCTTTTATCGCTCGCCGTAGTCGCCGTAAACAACGTCGTGTAGACTTCAAATGGAGAGAATATATGGATAACTGTGGAATGGTATACTGCATTATGAGACATTGGTAGTTAATCATGGTGTATTCCCCATATCTAAATTGGCCATAGAGCCACATAGATCCTGATAATCACCCTCTCACCCAGCATCCACCGAATAATGTGTATTGACATCGTTAATGAACGAAATTTGGCTGACGCGTTGTTCGAGTGCGACACTTGCCGCTTGCAGGCGGCATGTGTCGTGTCCATTCATTGATTGAAGGGTACGTTTCGACTTTGTGCTGCTTGTAGAAGATGTCTAAAGCTGTTTCAAAGACGTCTGGTCCGGCACCCTTCCATAGTGATAAGCCGGCGTTGTATATAACGAACTGTGGAGGAACGCAGGGTTCCACCCAGCCTAAGGTCTTGAATTCGCAAAGGCAGTATTCTTCTCTGTATCGGGAAGGTCGCTATGGGCAACGACACAGTATTCGTAGACGGGGCCATCGCACACCTCAAATGGTTCGTCCAGCGACTAGACAACACTGTGAGCAAGATGCTGTATCTGGGCCTTGTCTTTGTACTCACCATGCCTACATCGATGGGGACAATAGATTGTTCGAGATGATTGTCGATAACTTGAGGTTCAGGCACGAACATGAGATGTCCTTTGTCTCACAAGCAGTGCATATCGACTCTCACTATGTGGGGTTTGGATCAGGGCTACGTCGACCGACCAGGACATATACACTCACATAAGAAGATATGGAATGGGGAGTCAACGTCGAATTCATTAAGGCCCCACCACACCGCCACTTCCGCACACTACATGCATGAGAGCATCCAAGCCATGGTCACACGGGGATCATTAAGAAGTATTGATGACTTACCGTATCGTTGTCGGTTCTTCACGGGACAACGTGACACCCTTGGACTGACTTGTCATCCTGAAGACTCAACAGGCACCGTGACCCAGTAGGCGCCAAATGGGCGGCATACAACTTGAGATTGCTACCGCATGATTCGCCTTCGGGCTTGTCTGCCTTCGACTTGAAGTGTTTGTCCATTTCAAATCCTCCCGGACCCATAAGAGCTGTTGCGCCACACGAGGAAGTTGAGGTAAGTCCATGCCACATGGGAAGGCAAAGCATAACATCGCACCTTTGGGGTGCTTTGGCGTCATTGCTTTGCCTGTAGGAGCCGTTAAAGGAAGACTACGAGCCCAATGAGTGATCGCGTTGCCACGGCTCGAACGTGCTCACTGACCTAGATGCTTCCTCTGCCGCCTGTTTCTTTTCCTCCTTCATGATCAACTCTGCCTCCCCGAGTGGTGGCGCAGTCCACACGTCAGACAAGGTCAAGATATCATCCACGAAGTTGGATGCGTCGACTTAGAGCTCAATTCTCTTGCAGAACGCCGTCAGCGCCTCCACCCATAGTCCTTTGTTCTCCTTGAGCTTCATGGCCACGTTCAGGACCATGAAATGCGGCTTCGCATGGGATCGGATGGTCCCAACCTTGTCGAATCCGTAGGTGAACTCTTCGCGGATCGGACAGTTGCCAGGGGGACGTGCACCGGCCACAAGGTCTGGGTGAGGGATCACACAGTAATTGTGGATCTTATTTTTGTCGATGACCTATACACATTGCGGCGACGACTCGCATCAGTCGTAGATTATCAGGCTGCAGCGACTCACCTCCAAAATGTTGTGTCTTTCACCATCCTTGTACTTGTCCATATATCCGTTCACCACGTCGGGCATCGGAGCGATAAGAATGTCTCCGCGATCCCACAATATATGCAGGTCTCCACGAACTGTATGCAAGTAAGCCCACGCGTATCGGCATGCCTCCTGGAAAGAAGACGCACGGAAAGCCTGATTGTGGCGTGAGTCCACACTGAGCTCTTCTTTGAAGCCCCACCACCACTCCAGATGCGTGAGCTATGTATATGTATATGTAGACCGTCAGAGACATCGCATGCGCGCAGGAGCGACTTCAACTTACCACATCCGGCTTTGTGGCGCATGACAATACGTGACGATATTGAACGGACCCGTCATTGAGCCCTGATACAATGCAGGTACCTCTGTTCTGAGGATTCCAGAACGCTCGCTGTCGTGCACCCGCCATAATGCGGACCTTGCGTCTCACTTTCCGATGTGGAGTCTCATTCACCGGCGTGTCTTCCCGCCACGGAGTATACTCGTCTTCGTCGTCTGACACAGATATCTGCCATTTGACATGCTCGGACTCATGCTCGGGCTCTGGCACAGAGCTAGCGACACTAGACTTGTCGTAAGAAACTGTGGCCGGGCCACCATCAGCGCGAAGCGGTTATCGGTAGCGGCGAGGACCCATACCTTTCTTCGAATCTTTCAGTCTACCGGGTTGCCGCACTTTGAGGCTGTCGAACATGGCTAGGAAATTTGCGGAGATGAAGTGGAGGTTGGAGGTGAGAGTGAAGAAAGAGACAGAGTGAGTGAGTGGCTCAAAGCGGCTTTTGCTGAGTTTATATAATCTTGCAAAGCGCGTGACGACAAGCCAGACAATCCATCATACCCCAATTTGGATGTTGTGGCCATCGTTGACGCGGTTCAGTGGCTGGCAACCTCCGATACATCACCTAATCTGCCTGGTCTGTGCGGGGCGAATCCTTGAGTTGTGGTAGCGAACACACCGTTCGAGCCGTGGAAACCATGTCCCGCTGACCAAAGAGACACACGACGCAGTCAGTCTGCAGCAGACTCGATGGAGCTCACCTAGGTTCATTTTAACGACCTCGCTGGCGCGAAGCGTAGTCTGGTAAACGTCTATGTATGTCCGCCTAAGAAACCATGTTCTCGCCGCAGAATTTTAAACCGGGTGACAGTGAATGGAACTACTCAGCGAGGAGTAGATCACGACATTGACGACAAAGCTATTATTATTTGCTCATTCAGACATTCTAAGGAATTAGTATTGACACGGCATGCTGCCTGTATATTTCCGAGGCTGCAAGCATCTCTGATACACACTTAAGCGTGTAGAAAGCTGCAGGCGATGCTGAACAGACCCAGATGAATTCTGATGACGAGCACGGGAGTTCAAAATACGAATATTCTCACACCGTAAAGGCTTTGACATGTCAACATACTGCACATAGGAGGTTCTGCAAAGGATATCGAGGAATATAGGATCCTGGGAAACAATAATTGCAGCACTTTGCGTCACTCCAGTCGAGGTAACTGTGTCCGTGGGGAGGCCTTTCTGCTTCAACAGATCAGAAGACTGAAAAACAAACGCAGTTGCCTGCGAGTGATAAGGAGATACATCTACGAAGGAATGCTATGTAAGCGTTCCCGAAGTACAAATCAGATCGCAGGATTGAAACCAACTGAACCTGACCTGCACGCCGACTGCGCGATCTCACACAGGGGACTTCAAACAATATGAACGCAAGCATGATGCCCGCCTACGAATAAGCCTAAACGCACTGAGGATTAATTGACTGAACACTGAATTGACTACACCAGTCAAGACTTGATTGGTCTCGGGGATCCCCGAGAGTAGCGCTGACTAAGCACCCGCTAAGGGCTTTGGTGGCGCACAGTGGTGGCGCCACACCGTCGTGATGTCGTCACTACCTCGCTGTATACGCGATGTAGTCGACGCATAAATGAATGACCTTAACATCCTTATTCCGGACATGTCCCCTACGTGGGCTTCTGAACACCTCCTACGCGAAAGTACACCTACGCTTTTGGACGACACTGGCAGCTCCTTTTCACGCGAAAGCTCTCCACCCGCTACATCTATCTCCGCACTCAGCCGTGCACCATCTATATATCTTGGTGACGACTCCAAGCATATCTCCATCGGCGACCGCACGAGAGTCGGGGGTGTTGAGCCAGATGCGGTGGACCCGTCGCTAGAACATGTCTCCCGACCATTGAAATGGAAGCGATGTGCGGACATAAGCACTGATGACGTCCGCGCAAAGAGAGCGCGGACGTCTGGCACTTCGAGCGACGAAAGCATAGCTGACGACAGCGCCTCATTGGGTCTTGGGCATATACTCGTCCGTGAGTGTACGAGTATCAGGGTTGCCGAACTAGACGACGTTCACGCGTTCTCCCCCCATATTGACCTTCACGCGCCGCTTGCGGCCATCGCTCGCCCCCCAAAGCGAAGACGATGCGCAAACACGTCGCGCGACGAGGTCCGTGCTACAAGAAGGCGATTGTCTGACAGTCCGAGCAATGTGTCGAAGATCAAGGATAGCGTTCCTTTCGGACCTCACCCGAAGTGCATGATCACCAGCTGCGTATCTGCTGATGTAGAGGGGTGCTATATCTAGCCTCTAGACATGCCTCAACGATTAGTGAGTAGGTATGACTGTTACTTTAGCTTTTGTGACTGACAAGGTGAATCGGAAGACTACATTACTTGCAACATGCGTACTAACTACAACGCCCTCCGTTGTCACATACCTGCGAATATCATATTTCGTGAGTGTTTCGCACCGTTCTCTCCGTCATTTGCCGCCTCACAGTACCGCGCAGTTCGACGCGACCTCTGAGAACTCTGCGATACAAACCGCTTGTTGATGATACCCCATCCCGATCATTTGAAGATGCTTGATTATGGCATTGCATTTTTCTATGTACTTCTGGCCAATCACTATGCTTGTGGTGGCACAGATATACAAATATTGCGTCATCGCAGAGGACGAGCACCTTCCAGACTCATGCATGACTATGGGTCACCCCACCACACCTTCCGTCATGACGGCTCCTTGCTCGTATCGCTCGCTCGGATGGCACGAGCTGAAAGCCAATATCCGTCTGATGATATTACGAGCTGATCAGAAATTGAGCAATTCACCTTCTCTGACCCTCAGTCCGCAACCACCAGCGGCACCCTCTCGCTTTTAGGCAGAATTGTAATCACTTTCTCTGTTGTAATGACCAGACATGATGGCTGATATCACTTTGCAGAAACAGTGGCCAGTGTAGCTCAACCTTCGATGCGAAGTATTTCATAAACGACAGGCGATGTTTTCGAGAATGCCTATGGTGGAGTACACGGCTTCATGTATGATGTACCCATCAAGTATATGCTCTTTCATGGGCATCCGATACTTCATCTCACAGCATGTGGTTTAGGTATCGCAGCAACAAATCCTGTGCTTCATGTGCAGTCAGATAAATCCGTCAATGACTCTCGGCCATGCGCGTGATTCACCTCATCTTGTTGACTGCCTCAGGTACCTTCTCGTGTCATCGTTAGCGATTGCATCTGCATTTCAGTCGTAGGGAGATATTAGGTAAAAGGTGCATCTGCCTGTTAGCACACGCGTCTCCTGATTTAGTTCCACGGCTAGATCGGGATGTGCTACGAGAATGGGAACAGCACAACCCTGCGTGGTAGCTCATTCGAGCTGTGACGTTGCGCTTATATACACCCGCTCTTGGAAGATTGCGGCTGAGTGCGCAGCTTCTGGTCGAGCTTGAAGTTTGTCCTCGCCACTGGCGTGAAGACTGTCCCATACGAGGGCAATCCTGCGAGGATTCCTTGACCACAGCCTACAAACCGCGGATCCTATCTTCAAGACTGTCACCTCCATCGTTCCAGCATCATCTCAGTCGGAAAGCCAGATCTTTCTTGTGACCTCGAGGGTTTGATTGATGTTCTAGTCCATCAGTGATCAGTCTATTGACGAACTGCACGCCCGAGTACACAGATATTCTGGCACCGTCGCGGAGAGACATAAGACCACCTCAAAGTCGCCTAAACAAACCACGCACCCCTGCACGACCAGGTGATCGCTTTATACCATCTGGTTCCTCTCTGGACGGGTTGAATGAGTGCATCGCCTCGCACTCTAAATAACCCACGTATTGTGCCCCCGAATGACTCAAGAGCAATCCAAGCTTAACGACCGCGCGGTCCATATGCTGAGATTGCCGCCTCGACCCTACCAAAGAGGATGGACATGACGCGCACCGAAGCCTAATATTAAACCGCCCAGTATGTGGCCCGGCTTGCTTAGTTCACGCTCCCTAATATCTTGTGGAGTTCCCCGAACTGTCTGAGTGTGAGCTGTACTATACATGAGAAAAGTACCTATTCGGGTTCTTTTCAGCACCAGTGCGACGCGCTCGCCTCTCGTACCGTGCTCAGAACCCGATCTCCTTAGTTGTTATCCTTAGACCTCGCGCCGCCATTAAGCCCTCGCTCGGCGGTGCACGCATGCCGGTTCTTCCTAATGTCTCGAACGCGATGTCTCGAACCTAGCGAATGTATCAGCAGCCGGACTGACTGCACCCGCGTGTCTTTGCAAACCCACATGGACAGAATTTTCGGTACAAAAATACAGGTCCTGGAGCAGAGCGGCTCTGCTGCGACAGAGCATGAAGTCTCAGCCTATCCGTTCATCGCACACAGATGGTGGTCACGATGTAAAATGTTCAATCAGTACTCGGTCGTCTGATATGTAGTCTATAAGTCTCCACTTGAGGGCCTACTGGGATTATGAGCATACCCAGAATGGGACGTGCGCTGCGATAAGGTCGAACCAACTCGTCCGACGGATCATGGATTGCGCTACCTTTCAAGGTACTGTGACAAACGAGCCGGCGATTGTGAGTCGCTCCCACGGGTAGCATCTGCCATCATCGAGAGTCAAGACACGCGCCGTTCGTCGAGTGTTGAGGGCAAATCGACTATACCTGTACCTGGCCCATCGTCTGCAGAACAACTCGTACCAATGGCTCGCAGCGTGCGGGGTAGGACAAGATTAGACGTCAAACGACGAGGAGGGCTTACAATGAGGCTGAGCATGAGTACCATGGCAAGTACGCGATTGTGACGCCGGTAAACGGTTTACTTCATATTCACGCGTCGACGAGGACGCATAGCCGATCAGTGGTGGATTGGTGCAAAGAAATGCCCCTCAAAACTGGCAGTGTCACAGAACAACGCAAGGAAGCATAAACGTGGCAGTCGGATAACATATACAGGGTCAGACTATCCTGGAGTCAGCCATGGCTATCTGTAGGGAAAAGTGCTGACCAATGCCAGCACTAGGCCCGTCAACTAATTCCCAGAGGACGAGAACAACGTTGCCCATATCATCCACTGCGATCCTGAACATAATGAGCTCCTATGCTCTGAGTCTGGCGGGGTATTGTTAATATCTGAATGAGCACGGGTTGTGTGCCGCGATACCGCTCATGGAGCGCATGACAACGATAAATGATGTTGCCTCGAAGGCCAAGAGGTACATGACATGATTTATTGTTAGCGGAACAAGATTTGAATTCTACCAGCGTCAAATAAGCAAACGACTGCTTGCGTACTGCCACGACCGGGGGTGTTCCAAATAACGCAACAACTCTCTCATGTGTTTTCACGAGCAGCGATGTGATAAGTTACCTCTCTGACATAAAGAAGGAAAAATGCATGGATAACTGTACGATGGGATACTAAATAATGGAGCATAGATGGTTAGCAGGAGCAAGGCATATTTCTCGTGTCCGGACTGGCCATAAGGCCACATAAATCCTGATGATCACCCTACACCCAGCATTGACTGATAACACGCGATCATCTTGAATCCAGCTAGGATCGCATCCGTTGTGAGTTATGATATGAGTATTAATGAAGTATAGCCGACGCACCAATCGAGACAGCGAGTCCAACCAAAAAGCTTCTTCGGCAGCGGGATCCCAGCTGAAGACTTCTTCGGTAGTAGAATCCGTCCAACAGGCTTCTTCGGTATCGGAATCCATCCAAAAGGCTGCTTCGGTAGCGGGATCCCAGCTGAAGGCTACTTTGGTAGCGGAATCCGTCCGACAGGCTTCTTCGGCAGCGGGGTCCATGCTGAAGACTTCTTCGGTAGCGGAATCCGTCCAACAGGCTTCTTCGGTGTCTGAGTCCATAAAAAAGGCTGCTTCGGTGGCGGAATTCATGCTGACGGCTTCTTCGGTGGTGGAATCCATGCTGCCGTCGTGCAGCATGCCTTCTGTCAATTGAGAGTAGATGTCTTTGATATCAGTGAGTACGTTGATCGCTTCATATTCGACTTTGTGCTCCTTGTAGAAGGCGTCTAGAGCTACTTCGAAGTCACCTGGCCCGCCACCCTTCGATAGCGCCAGACCGACATTGTATAAGATGAAATGAGGAGGAACGCGGGAAAACATCCAGCCCACGGTGTCGAGGGCCCTCGGAAAATTACTTTCTGCTTCTGAGCGGGGAAGGTCGCGATGGGCGACAACGCAGTATTTGTAAAGGGGACCATTGCACACTCTAAATGGTTCGTCCAGTGGCTGGATAGCACCGTGAGCAAGATACCATTTCTAGGTGCTGTCCATGCACTTACCACGCCTACATTGATGGGAGAAATGTATTGTTTCATGTAATCACCAATGATTTGAGGCTCAGGCACGAATATGATTTGCCCTTTGTCCCACAAGGAGTGAAGATCGGCCCTTACTATGTGGGGTCTGAGCCGGGGCTATGTCGAGCGATTAGGATATATACACTCACGCAAGAAGAGGTTGAAAGGTGTGTCGATGTCGAAATCTGTAAGCCCCCACCATGCCGCCAGCCGCTCACGCTATATACACGGGCGCACCCCAGTCAGGGTCGCGCGAATGCCACCGCGGACTATTGGTGACTTACCAATTTTTTGTCGGTTCTTCGCGGAATAACGTGACATCCCTGAATCGACTTGTCGTCTTGGTGGGTCAACAAGCACCGTGGTCCAGTAGGTGCCAATTGGGCGACTTTCGACTTGAGGGTGCTAACGTACGGTTCACCGTTGGACCTGCGGGCCTCCGGTTTGCGGTCTTTGTCATGTACAAGACCCATAGATGTTCAAGTGAGTCCGTGACACATAACAAGGCAATGCATAACGACGTACCCTTCGACCGTTCAGGCGTCCTTTGTACGCCTGTCCGAAAGTTCATAGGAAGCCTACGAACGAGATAAGTGGTTGCGTTGCCACGGATCAAGTGTGTTAACTGACATATGTTCCTGTTTCCTCCTCAACTGTGCCTCCCCCGGTGGTGGCGCAGTCCACAACGCGTTCAATCTCAAGAATTTCTCTACAACGCGGGATGCGTCGACTTTGAGGTGAACTCTTTCGTAGAACTCCTGCAGACTCTTCACCCACAGCTCCTTGTTCTCCATGATCTTCATGGCGGCATTCACGATCATGAAGTGTGGCCGCGCGTTGGACGGCACAAATTTGAGCTTGTGAAACGCGTTGGTGAACCCTTGGCGGATTGCACGCTTTGCTCTAGAACGTGCACCACCTGAGAGGCGAGGGTGGGGGATCACACAGTACCAGTGGATCTTTTTCTTGCCGATGACCTATACGCATCGTGGCGACGATTCGCATCAGTCGTAAACGAATAGCTTGCGGCGACCCACCTCCAAAATGTCGTGTCTTTCACCATCCTTGTATTTTTCCACATATGCGTCCACCACGTCGGGCATCGGAGCAATAAGAATGTCTCCGCGGTCCCACAATACATGGAGGTCGCCACGAACTGTATGCAAGTAAGCCCTCGCGTATCGACATGCCTCCGAGAACGAAGACGCACGGAAAGCCATATTGCGGCTAGAATCTACATTGAGGCCTTATTTTTTGATGCCCCACCACCACTCCAGAGAGGTGAGCTATGCATGCGCGTATGTAGACCGTCAGATGCGCCACCTCCGCACAGGATTACGATACGCGCGTCTGTGGCGCGTGGCAAGACATGGCACTGTTGCACTGACTTGTCCTTCAAGCCTGATATAATACAGGCACCTCCGTTCCGAGACGCCTTGACCGCTCGCTGCCGTGCACCGTTTGTAATGCCGTACTTGCGACTCACTCTCCGTTTTGGAGTCTTCGGAGTGTCATTGACCGGCGTGCCTTCCCTAGACGGCCTATAATCGCTTCCGTCGTCTGATATTTCCCTTTTCCGTTTCCCATACGCAGGCTTGGGTTCGGACTCGGGCTGGGAGCCACTGACGCTGCACTCGTCGTAATCAACTGTGGCCGGGCCACAGTCAGGGCAAAGCGGTCAACGGTAGCGACGAGGAGCCGTACCTGGATCCAAGTCTTTGAGTCTATCAGAACGTCTCAATTCCAAGCTGTCAGCCATGGCTAGGGGATTTTCGGAGATGAGGTGAGGGGTGAAGGTGAAGGTGAAGGAAGAGACTGCGAGAGTGTGTGGCTCGAGCGGCTTTTGCTGAGTTCATATTATGTTGCAAAGCGCGTGACCACAGGCCACAGAGGCCATTGTATTCCAATTTGGATATTGCGGCCATCGTCGACGCGGGTTGGTGACTGGAAAGCTCAGGCATATTACCTAATCTATATGGTCTGTTCGAGGTGTGTTCTGGAGTTGTGATATCAGATGCACCATCTGAGGCGCGGGAACCGTGCCCGGCTGACCGGAGAGACACACGATAAAGGTCGCATAAGGAAGCACGCTTGTCATTTGCTGAATCGGCATCGCACAGTCAGTCTGCGGAAGACTCGACGAAAAGGAACGAAACTCACCTAGGACATGTTGAACGACCTCACTGGCGCGAAGCATTTCCAGGTGAGACGTTTGTGTCTGTCCGCCTCCAAAACCCATGTTCTCACCGCAAAATCATAAAATGGGTGATAGGGAAGAGTATAGTATGATATTGACGAGAAAGCTACAACTATTGACTCATTGACACATTCAACAAGAAGCTGGAATTGACACCGCACGTCGCCCGTGTCTGCCAGAGGCTACGAACATTTCCTACGTATACTCAAGGATGTAAAATGATTATCTGTGTCATGGATTGCGTCCCTCATTGGACAGAGTCAGACGAATGCTGACGATGAGCACGGAAGGTCAGGTACGAATGTCCTCACACGTACTGTCCACAAGGGTTTCTATGCAAGGTGTTGAGGGATACTCCCTATCAAAGGACGGAACGTGTTCCGTGAGAAGCAAGGGGTTACATCTAAGCAGAAGTAGAATGTGAGCATCTCTGAAGTACGAAACAGATTGCAAAGTCAAAATAAACTGACCCGGACTCCGACTACGATCTCACACAGAGGGCTTGCGACGTAGTCCACGAAAACATTCAGAGTGCTGAGTTTGTGTATCACAAGGCGCAGACGGACATCTACGACAGCGTACAAACGCACTGAGAATTGATTGACTGTACACTCAATCGACTACACCAGTCAAGACTTCATTGGTTTCGGGGAACTCCGAGAGTAGCGCTGACTAAGCTCCCGCTAAGGGCACTGGTGGCGCACGCTGTTCGCGCTACACCATGGTCACTACCTCGCTGAACTCGCGATACAGTCGACAAAAAAATGAATGGTCTTTACATCCTTATTCCTGACACGTCCCATACGCTCGCTGCTGAGCACCCCCCACGCGACATGAGTACTCCCGCGCTTTCGGACGACACTGGCAGCTCCTCTTCACGCGAAAGCTCTCGACCCGCTACACCCACTTCTGGAGTCAGTCGTGCACCATCTATCTCCTTTGATGACTATTCTAAGCATACACCCTCTGGCGAAGGCACGGACATCAGGATTGTCGAAGCAGACGCGGACTCCTCGCCACTAGAAGACATCACCCGTCCGCTGAAACGGAGACGGTCGGCGGACACAAGGGCTGATGAAGTCCGCGCAGAGAGAGCGCTGCTGCCTGATATTTGGAGCGATGCAATCATGGTCGATGATGGCGGGTTCTTCGGTCTTTGCCATACACCCATCAGCGATTGCACGAGTGTCGGGGACGTCGAGCCCGACGCATTGCACCCGTCATCAGAATACGTCTCCCGTCCACTGAAACGGAAGCGAAGTGCGGACACAAGCACCTATGACGTTCGCGCAAAGAGGGCGCGGACGTCTGGCACCTCGAACGACGCAACCAAGGCCGAGGACCGCGCTTGTTTCGGTCTTGGGCATATGGCCATCCACGACTACACGAAGATCAGGGTCGTCGAACCGGACGCGGATCCCCCGGTCTCCCCCGGTATTGACATACACGTTCCACTTGACGCTATCGCTCGCCCGCCGAAGCGAAAACGGTTTGCAGACACGACGGTCGACGAAGTCTGTGTTAAGAGAAGGCGATTATCTGACAGTCCGAGCGACGCGTCGAAGCTCAATGACGGGATTCCTTTCGGACCTCACCCTAGATGCATGATCACGGGCTGCGTGTCCGCCGAGGTGGAGGCGTGCTATATCCTGCCTCCCGCCACGCCCCAACCGTTGGTGAGTAGGGTGATTACTACCCTGACTTCGCAACTGACAAGGCAGCTTTGTAGAGCGACTGCACAACTCTCCGCGTGCCTACTGACTCTAATGCCGTCCATTGTAGCACGCCCGCAAACATCCTATTCCGTGCGTACTTGCTCACATCTGGCCTGTTTTACCTTGCCTTACCATCCGTATGCAGTTCGACGCGACCTCCGTATACTGTGGGAAGTGAATCGCCTGCTGATGATACCCCATCCAGATCATATAGACCACCCTGATACCCGCCCTGTATGTATGGTACGTCCTTTCAGATGGTCGCCGTGCTCACAGTCAAGTAGGTCTACACATACCACGTCATTACAGAGGATGAGCAGCCTCTAGATTCGGGGACCCCCCAGGATCATACCATTATACCTCTAGCTACGACCGCTGATTGCTCGTATCGCTCGCTGGGGTGGCACGAGCTGAGTGCTAATCTGCATCTGATGACCATTCGAGTGGGTCGTGAATTCATGAAGCGACCGCTCCGCTACGAGCATGTGTTCCGTATGGACGCTCTTGTGCATATACCCATCGTCCAGCTAGCCCAGCCAGATGCAGCCGAGCCGGTCTCCCCCCACATTGAACGAGAGTCGCCAGTTGAAGGCATACCCCGCCTGCCGAAGCGAAAACGGAACCCGGACACAGATAATCATGAAGTCCCCGCCAAGAGAATGCGCACGTCCGTCACTGGATGCAACGCGTCCAACATCAAGGACGCCGTTCTTTTCGGACCTCATCCAAGGTGCATGATCACCGGCTGTGTATCTGCTGATGTAGAGGGGTGCTATATCTGGCCTCTAGACATGCCTCAGCGATTGGTGAGTGTATGGCTGTAATTGTGGATTGTGTGACTGACAACGTGAATCGGAAGTTCGACACCTTGATAACCCGCATGCGTGGCAACTACAACACCCTGCGTTGTCATGCACCTGGGAATATCATATTCCGTGCGCAATTTCCACATTTGACCCGTCGTTTGTCGCCTCACATACTGTGCGTAGTTCGACGCGACCTCCGAGAGCTGTGGGAAACAAACCGTTTGTTGGTGATACCCCATCCTGTTCATTTGAAGAGTCTTAAAAAATATTGCACTGTATGTATGAATATGCCCTCTTGGCCAATCGTGGTGCTTACGGTGACGCAGGCGTACAAGTATTGCGTCATCGCAGAGGACGAGCACCCTCCAGACTCATGTGCGACCATGGGGAACCCCATCACGCCTGCCGTCATGGTGGCCCCTTGCTCATATCGGTCGCTCGGGTGGCATAAATTGAAAGCCGATCTCCGTCTGATGGTATTTCGAGCGGGACAGAAATTAAGCAAGCGACCATTCCACTACCAGCATATCTTGCGGGAGCTGCTGCCCCACCACGAAATCAATCATACATACAGCATAGTCTCCCGGTATTCGTTGTGGACGCTCCCCCTGAATTTGGAGAGAGTACCCTGCAGGCGGTTGTGGGCCACAGGAGAGCTCACACCCTTCCCTGATGGTTATTTCCGCAGCCCCAGGAAGCAATATTGCCCTCCCCTGTCGGACGATGACACTGTCCGCTTTCCTCGCCCGTTTCGGCCAATTGTATCAGGGATAAAGAAAAAGCGTTCTGGTGACACCAGGGTGGACGGTGAGGTCTACACCGCGGGAGAACATGCTCAATGGAGAGTCGACATTCGTCTGTGGCGTCAGGATTGCGATCAAGCTCGAGACGAGTGGACGATGGGACCGCCCGCGGAACCGGAGGACGCAAAGTTCCTCGCTTATCGACAGGAGAAAGCCGGCAATGTGCTGACTGCTACGCAAGAACCTTGGTTCGCGGAATGGCATTCTTCAAAGTACGCTCTCTTGTAGATCTGTAGGTGAAAGAATGACTGACGCCATCTTGCCCAAACCGAAATGTTCCAGATACGGTCCTGAGTCTTAACACCTGGCCACGGACCCCATCTTACCGCGTTTGGAAGTGCTCGCCAGGTCATGAATATCCAAAATGGTCTGTTGAACAATCGAACCTCATCGACCTGCCATCGTGACTGGAGCTTCTGTCATCACGTTGATTCACAGGCGGCAATGGACTGATATAGACACCCCCGATCCGCACGGATGTGCCAAATGTGCTGCCGCACCATGCGTGGCGATTGTCGACAAGGGGCGGGATGTACAGTTGTACTGAGGAGCATTGCGTTGCCCTGGTCCCCTCAATTTCAGTCGGGCTATCGGCTGTATCTCAGAGTTTCTTTCCGGCCGCCGCGGTAACTATATGCGTGGTCCTTGCGAGACGCCGAACAGGGTCTACCAGCCGCCGGTGCGTACTACTTTACCTCAATAAGAAAATCCGGTATGTTCAATGTGTTTCCCGTCTTGTTCCCTTCACTGATGTTTGACACACAGGTTCTGATCTTCCAAGTAACGATTCCCTCACAACATAGCTGAACGCGGTTTAGCCGCCAGACGTCAAGATTTGCTGAACCTGTCAAATCCGGGACTGCCTAGCACACTCAAGGAGAATGTGCCGTGCTGCATAACAATTGCTGCTAGCAGTATGACATACGACCCAAACGTGTGAGACAATATACCCGTATGCGTATCCGACCGCGTTTCGATCTCGGCGACTGACTCAAGGGCAGTTTAGGCCCTATGTAGACCAGCCCTTGGGCATCGACTCTTCGTATTGTAATCTGCCATCTGTGGAATATGGAAACTGCAAGCATGTACCACCGATGGCGATCGTTCCCGCAAATCGCCTTCTCCGACCCTCCATCCCGCAACTACCACCAGCAGACTCTAATCTTCGGACCAAATCGTAATGTTTCCTCTCTCGTTCTGATCAGGTATAGCAGCTGATACCACTTGGCAGAAGTCGTGGCCATTACAATCCAACCTTCTCTGCGCCTGTCAATCTGACGTCGGAGTAATGGTACGTTCTTTCATATGCGTTAATACTTCACCTCACACGAGGTTTAGGATCTATCGCTGCAATACCCAAACCACATTCTGTGCAGTCAGCACAATCCGTAGGTTTTTTTCTTAGCCATGTATGATTCGACTCATCCTGTTGACCGCCTCAGATACCTCCTCGTCTTATCGTTAGCAGTTGCATCTGCTCATCAGTCGTAGGATGCCGCAAAGATCGGGTGAGAGACGTATCTGATGGGTTGCACACGCGTTTCCTGACTCAGTTCCACGGCTAGATTGGAGTATGCTACGAGAATGGAAACAGCACAACCCCGCGCGGCAGCTCAGTCGAACTGTGGCGCTGCACTTATATACCCGCTTTTAGGCGACCACCACTGAGTGCGGGGATTTTAGTCGAACCTGTAGTTCATCCTCACCGCTGGCGTGGAAACTACTCCATACGAAGGCAGTGCTGTGAGTTGATTCCTTGACCACAGACTACAGACCGCTGATGCTGTCTGCAAGACTATCTCCTTCATTTGAGCGTCCTCTCAATCGTAAGTCCAGATATACATTATAACCTCGAGGTTTGATTTATCTCGTAGTCAGACAGGTAGACCCTCTTCGGACACAGTTCAGCGATGAATGGTTCCAGACACCATCAGTGATTGGTCTGTCGACGAACGGCGCGCCCGTGTACACAAGTATTCTGGCACTGTCGCGAAGAGACCTAGGACCGCCGCAAGGTCGAGGAAACCCGCACGTCTCTGCATGATCAGATGATTGCATTATACCCCATCGCTTCCTCGCTGGATCGGCTGAATGATGGCACTGTCGCGCTCTCGCTCGGCCTCGTACTCCAAATAGCTCACTCACTGAGCTCAGGAATGGCTCACGAGCAGTCCAAGTGAAACGACTTCGCGGTCCATGTGCTGAGATTTCCGCGTGGACCCCACCACGGAGGATTGGCGCGATTCGCACCCAGGACCGGTAGTACACCCGCCCAAGATGCGGTCCGGCTTGCTTGAGCTCACGTTTCCTAGCCTTCTGCAAAGTCCCTCAAACAGTTTGTATTCTAATATGAGTCTTTGAGCAGAGCGGCGTCAGATTATTTTGGAGTGCGTGCAAGGTGAACCTCAAGGTGGGCGAAGTCTGGGTGGCAACCGTCGAGTGGAATTTGTATAATACAATTGATTGTGAACAAACTACGTATCACCGGTCCCTTACCTTCCCTTCCTCCGGTTGGCGGGACCTTTCGACAATAACGAGCTGCAGCACCAAGTCCTACATACTACTATGGTTTACCAATGGATGGCCCTCCCCCCCCCACCCTCTTGATGGCCATGTAACACTTTGTCACATCAATGTGATGGTGCTGATCCAGAGGTCCGCTCGGCTCGCTGTCGCGACTTAGGGTCGAGTGACAGAGGAAACCTAGACTGAGGCGCTGGGGGTGTTTGACTGGGTCTTACCAAAGTGATGGCGAGCGAGGCTCAAACCTAAGGCTAGGGACAAGAATGTATTAGTTAGTAAGTAAAGGAAGTAAGTACAGGGAAGCTTACTGACCTAGGGACAAGAGGTCGAAACTGAGGTCCCTAGGGCAGCAGAGGCCGGGTTATATACAGGGGAAGTTTAGGGGAGGCTGTGCGCATTGGTCCGTGCGCAGCTGGTCCATGCGCAGCATGCTGACGCGGCCCTGGGGGCCGGTGAGTCAGAGAGGCTGTGTCAGCGGAGCCCGAGCTGTGCCGTGCACTGCCGCCCCATCTAATCTAATCGTACAGTAGATAGCGATGCGTCCATATCAGGCATGTAGTACAGAGGTCGTGGGTTCGAGCCCACGAAAAGGAAAAATTAAAAAATGGCTAGACGCCATACCAACTCGTGACACTCGCAGGGCCAGGGCCTGAACTTTTGCTCAGTGGTGTGTGGCTCCACAGTGATCAACAGGTCAATTTTGTAACTCCGCTTGCATCTGTCATGGCCATCATGCTCTCGGACATGACATCACCATCAAATCCCTTGAAAGAAGGAACTTCTCAATGACTCATCTGTTCGCTCTCATTCAAGTTGGAGGTGAAAGCAGGCATATGAAAACATAGGTGTCCATATAATTTTGAGGGCAGAGGAGTGCCTGGTTGTTGCGTCATCACAAACCTGGCCATCCAAAGGGGGGGGGTAATGAAACATTTGTCTTTCCGTTCTATTCCTTGTACTACTAGCGCCCATACTGGCGCCTGTCTTAGCGCTCACCCGCAGGTTGAACATTATGTAGCTTACATAATGGGGTCCGTGCGCACTTCGTGCCTGGTATCGTACCACTACGTTTCTTTCTTCACTAACACGACCACATAGACACAATGGTCCGTGCGCAGTCGGTACTTGTATAAGTAGTTGTACCATTAGTCGGTCGAACCCTAAGTTCGACCTGGTTATTCATTCAAGTCTCTGCTCCTCCTCGCTTGGGGTAGTGGTCATTCTCGACTTCCTCGCTCGATCTTCAGGACGACGCACTGTCCATAAGTCCTCGCTCGTTGTCTACGAGTCAGGCATCAATATAGGAGTATAGACCGTTGTATCAAAAGGTCGAACTTTCTAAGCTACGTTCCTAGTTTCACCTAGTCGAACAACTCATCCACC